TTCATTTGACTCTACAAGGCTTGAATCCTGCTTTCACTGCAGGCAGAGCCAGGAAGTGTCAGAGCATCCCATGCCCACCTCTCAGCTGGTGGGTGCAGTGCAGGGGGGGGATACTGAGGCTGAGCACCAGCACGAGGGGCTGAGCTACACCTCTGTCCTGAAGGAACACTCCTGAATTATGGATGCTTGCTCCACAATCAATGTCTTGCCCATAATTTAAAAATAAAACTAAATGAACTGATGTCAGCAGGGTGGCTGCACTTACTGTCTGCCTAGGGAGACACAGACCAGATGGGACCTCTCTGTGGGTCCTGGGTGGGAGAAAGCAGTGCAAACACAGCAAATGGAATGCTGTCCTCTCTCTGCTCCAGCTATTGCACATGGGAAAACAAGGATGAGCAGCACCAAACACCCAGCAGCACAACTGGAGAGGTGTGAGATGCTGGCCCAGAAAGGCATTAAAAGTCAGGGTGCTCCCACTGGTCAGCAACCTCATGTTTGCTTTGGTAGTGCTGCCCTGATGAAGTGTGATGTAAATTCACAGGACCACACGGTGGCTAGTGATCCTCAAACTAACAGAAATCTGAAGTATGTACATCTGTGCTAATATTTTATACATTGTGTAATGATCTGAAAGTTGAGGTGACCCAAAATCAGTCTGTGAAAAATGAAAATACTGTTTTTACTTTATTTTATTTTATTTTATTTTATTTTTCTCTATCTCTATCTTTTCTTTCCCCTGATGCATGACTGGTGTAAAACAGGACAAAAGCAAACCACGGAGACTAAACCACTAATCCTGCTGCCTGAGAGTTAATGCTTCAAATCCTGTGTTGCACAAAACATGGAATGGGATCACCTCACGTGTCTGCAGAGGCCTTTCTTACAGGTATAATTTAGAGGGAGAGATACTGCTAAGAATTTTAGTAGCACCTTCCTTTTTGCTCATTGGTTTTCACCAATATTAAACCCACCTCATTTCCTAAAAGCACTGTCAATATGCACAACCTGCATGAAAGTTCCTTTGTGGCTGATTTCAAAAGCCAGTGCAGGTGCTTTCCTGTTATTCCATACTCTGTGGTCCAACAAATTTCACAGATAATTATGCAAGAAATATGAGGTTGCCTGTGAAAGAGTTTAAAATAGCCTGGAAGAAGATTGAAGGGAAGGGAACAGAAAAATGAAACATTAAAAAATATGTGTGTCTGCGAGCACTGACTGTAACATAGTAAACTCCAGTATAGATGAACAAATTATATATTATTCACAAGCCTTGAAGAACACACAGACATAACTACCTACTGACTGTACAGGATGTTCAATACCACTTTAAAGGATATGGTGCAAAGCACAATATTCCCAGTATAAAAGTGATAGTATTAAAGTTATAAGTACCTTTTTTAATAGTAATGATATGACAAAGGAATAAAACCTCAACCCACAGGAGAAATTGCATTAGTGACAGAGATTTCTGCTGAGGCACCCGAGGGCCTTCATGAGCCCACAGGAAATGCTGGGCATTGCTTTCCCCAGAAAAAGGGACTTACTCTGGAGAGGTATTTGGGCATATGAAGAAAATAATAATATCCATGGCAGAGAGCTGAGCAGCCTCATGCCCGTGGTATATGCTGTGGCCAAGTGGCAGGCAAGATAAATTGTAGAGAGGGAAGGGAGCATTTCAAACCATCCTTCAAACAAAGAGACCTTCAAGTAGTGAAAGGAATCATGAAAGTAAATGTGCAACAGAATAGGCAAAGAAACAGAAACTGGTCTCTGTGTTTCATGGCAAGGTTTGACTTTTGTTTTGCTCCCACTGTGCTACTGCATAAGTCACTGGTGATGGAGCAGCTTTTAGGACAGTGTCTACTGAATAATACAAATAATCATTTATAACTTCTTATTATAGGCCATGGCCTGGCCTCACTGTAATTTATTAAGATGAGACACCAAAGAAGAAGTTTGCTGGAGTTGGCAGGAAGTGATAATTGGGAATACACATCAACTTCATGCCCTTCATAGTACAAATAAGCTCAGCCTGAATTTTGTTCCCTGCAGGAGGAGGACTGCAAGCCAAGCCCTGTGTACTGGGATGGTGTGCTACCCATGGTCAGACCTCCCAACAAAAGGGACAAAAAGATATTCATCATCAGCCCTGACACTTATTAAAAATGTTAAGATGATTCCTACAGATAATTGTATTCTCTGAAAGAGAAAACAAAGCCAGCTCTCCACCAGCCCAGCTGTGCCCCAGAGCAATAGCTGGTAGGAGTGGAAGGAAATGCAATCTCCTCTACAACATGGACTCAAATTGTCAAAGCAGCAGCCTTGAGGAGGTGTTTTCTGATGAAATTTAACCGGGAAGCACCAAAAGCTTGATCTCAATAGCATTAAATCACAGTTTGGCAGGGCAATACTGAGTTTCAGCCTGCTTTATACACACTAGGACATAGCCATGGGGTGGAGATGGCTTGAGGTGATAATCAGCCAACAGCCAAACTGCTCACAGGGGTCTCCCAGTCCTTGTCACCTCTCAGAAGTGATGCCTTTGTTTGGGTGTGAGTACATTGCTTCACCTGAACACCTGTGGATATTTAATTAGGACTCAAGCAAGATTTTTTAGTGACACATTATGGCTTGAAATTATATACATTTACACACTGTAAATAAAACCTAGTGTGAGATTAACTGGTCTTAATCCTTTCAATATGGTTGACAAAGAAGGTAGAAAGTTGCAGGTGACCTTTTGATATGTTCTCAGGCACAAAATAAACATCAAATCCCAAATCTTTGTGTGAGTTAAAGCACTGACGTCAATGGGATTCCCATGGGAAGTTTTGGGAGTTTGTCTTAACAAGAATAGAACCACCAAATTGGAAAAAGTTTTGACTTAAGCCAGGTCAGTATGTCAAAAGCCACAAAGCAAAGTCTGGGATAAAACAAAGGCCAAAGCAAATGTCCCTTGGATTAATTTTTACCAGCAGCACATTGGGCTTTTGAACTGCTCTCCAGCCATCTACAAAAGCAGCTATGGGCTGACTAGAACCAAACTTGAAAAGGGAAGACATTCCTTTGTAGTTCACGTTTGCTGGCTTTGAAGTCACAGAGAGTCTTACCAGTGACTTCAATGGGACTTGCCTTACACTTTCATATTAGCCATTGTTTTATCCTAACTCCTTTCAAAATTCCAGACAATAACACTTTATTGTAATCCTGACAGAGCAATTAGGCTCCAGTCCACACCTGCACCTGACTTTTTTCTTAACACAGCACTCTTTGAGCTTCTCTTCTCTGAACAGAGTTATGAGGGCTGAATTAATGGTGTCTCTGCTCTATCTGCTGCCTCTGTGTTTCATGACCTGATGAAGAACATGAAATTCTTCAAGGCTTGTACAGCTGATCTTTGGTTTCAACCAGCTGTAGTTTTCACCTACGGTTTTATGAGTGTGCTTAGCAGGAAAAGAAAAGCTCCTTTATATCAGTGTAATTAGGCAATAACAGAATGACAGGATGTGGACTAAAGCATAATCATTCACAGGTGCAGTCATAGCATGGTTTTAATCAGGAGTTCAGAAGCTGAATTCCCAGTGTAACAAGCTATGAAACACTGCTTCATAATTTAAAAATTTGAATGTGTTTTTAAAATAATAAAACATTTCCTTTCATATCTTTAATATATGAACCAAATATCCACATGCCAGAAATGCCTACTGAGAAAACACAAGGTTCTCATTCCTCTAAGGCAGCCCCTAATCTTTCCCCTTCTTGGTGTCAAATCTGCAAGAATGATCTTTGTCTGCACAATATTCCATTCTACAACATCCAACAATATTCCTGTCTAACTACACTGAACCACTCCCTGCTCCATTCTAATGCCTTGGCAGCCTGGGATTGAGGAAAGTTACCCAGAAGAGAACATTTTTTCCAATATTTTCTTGCAGAGCTGCCCACTGCCATTTGGGGTGAAGCTGACTGCCAAACACAGACCCAAAGAGGAAACCATGGGTGCTCCCAAATCTGCCAGACAACACTACCCATGGGATTCCAACGTGGAAAGAATGAGGAGAGCCCAGCACAGAGCTTACAGTGCTGCACAAAACCAACCTGTGGCTCTCTGAAGCACCTGTGGGTTAGTACAAACAACACAACGCCCACCAAAAAGAACAGCGAGGGATTTTTACAAGATGCTCCATTCCACGAAGCTGCTGCACTGAGGGATTCTGCAGCACAGAGCAGCTTGTTTGAGAAGGGTAACTAATGGGATTAGTACCACTTACTCCCCATCTTCTTATGAGATTTATATTTTACTAAGCACTTCCCAGCCGTGCATCTCTCCCTGATTGCTGTGTGGTTTCACCTTGTTCTGCTGGCAGGGGAGCCCCAGAGAGGAAAACACCCTGTGGAGCTAAACCTCACATGAAATCCAGACACAAATAACATCGCGCTTTTCCTTCAGAAAAAAAAATAAAATTAAAAAAACCAAATCCCCATGACAAGAAACGGCAGCAGTGATTTTAAGAGAAAAAGATTTTTTCCTGCTTTCTGTAATGTTTGTTTCAGGACTAGAATAGAAGATTAATTTATTTATGTTATCTTGCCACTGACTTTCCAAATGACTAATTACATCAAAATGAATGGCAGTTGTCCTTTGAAATATTCATGAATCAAAACTAATGTGGCACTGAAGGGGCCCCGTGAAGTGACTCAAGGGATAATTTTATCCAGGTATTTATCAATAATAAATCTCTTGTACTCATCAAAGCATCCATACTGGGCAATATTCTTACAGTTTTCAGTTAAATCTTAGCATGACCCATGGGCACAGAACTATGCACTGAAGTAGCAAGAAGGTGGTCTAAATATATATGCATGCTAATAGATTTTTCTATTTTGTAAAATAAAGACCACAACAAAACTCCTATGCACAATCTATGGACTTCCAGCTTTCTAGCTGTAATGGATGGTACACAAACAGAAACATATACACAGGAGGAGCTACTTGCCATCAACACAGGAAGGTCTGTTTCTTGTAGTCCCAGCCACTTTCCCAGGTAGACAGGAGCATTTTACTGTTTGTGATCTTTCCTCAATTCGATTCTTATTACAGCATCTGTGTGCTGCTATAACTTCACACGTTCCTCCTTCTGGCAAAAAAAAAAAAAAAAGAAAAAAAAAAAGAAAAAAAAAAAGAAAAAGAAAAAGACAATATTGACACTCTGATTAGGAAGAGCAGCAGTGGCTAATCAAAGCACCCAGGCGTGCTCCTGTCTGTGTGTCTGCCCAGCTTTTGTACAGGTGGGATTACAGTTTTATTTCTGTCTTGTGTGCTCCCAAATAAGCCAGATACTGTTACACTACATTTTTAATGGAAAATGTAGATAAATTCACTTGCCTTTCTTATATTAGAAGTCTCTATGACATCCACATAATTTTTGGCCTAAAAATAACATTGTCAATGTCTGAGCCTGAAGAAATGTAGGTAAAATACCATACAAAATGTGCAATCACTGTTGGCTGATTTTATACTTGTAATATTGGAGACCTCTTCCCCAAGTATTTTCTCATACAAGGACAGAGACTAAGGGAATCATCCAGAAATAAGATTTTTCTCCAAATATTTGATTCTGTGCTAGTACTCAGTCCTTAGAACATGACAACGAGTCTCCCCAGATTACCCACCCAGATTAGGGTGGCCTAACAGCACTTCCCTTTGCTCCCCCACTCACTAGATTGGCAGATTTAAGGCAGGAAACATTTCCATTGCATGTGAGATCACCAGGCTTAATTTGTCTCTTCCTTAATTGTTCTTTCTGAGCATTTGCAATAGTTTTATTAGAAGGAGAGCACAGGGGAGTGATCGACAGATCCACGGAGGCTTTGGGCTTATGAATGCTTGGTGTTTGTGCCATATGCTGAGCACAGAAATGAGGTGTCAGGTGTGCCATTCCCCTTCACCTCTGCTCTGCAGTGCAAGGAGACAAACACCACGGTGGGCTAATGCCCTGCCCAGGTAATTTCTCCATTCCTCAGTTCAGATTGCATTTAGCTCACAATCACTGAGTGTTTAATGGTGTCAGGCTGTTCCCCACAGGTATCTGGCTACTTTCTGAAATTGCAGCACAAATTTGGCAGGGTTTGTTTCAACTTAGTACAAAACTTCATGTGCTGCCCACTAAAGGGCAGGATGTGCAAGATTTTCTAGAAGAGCTTTATTCATGCCATTAAACATTGCTACGTGCACAGTGCTTTTACTACAGCATAAACCACATTACTCATATCTTTGGATTTTGCTATTTTTGAAGGAATATTGAGAGCTTTTGACACCGTGTGCTGTGTGGCCAGGTAGGAGAATAAGAAGTGTGAGACGCTGATCCACATCTGGCTGTCAACAAAGGGTTTTGGTACAGGTCTGGCAGTCCAGTGGCATTTCCCTACCAGGACCTGGGGTTTCTACAAATGTGGCATTTTTAGTGAAGCACTGGGCAGGTAGGCAGGGAGAATTCTGCCTTGCCTGATGTTGGTCATATGGTGGAGTTTGCAAGCATGAGAATAACTCTGTAGTAAATCTTGAAGTCATCTGGAGAGACATGCTGCTGCACCTCTTAATTATTAGGTGTGTTTGGGCTGCTGACACAAGCTTTTTGAAAGCCAATAGGCATCAAAAAAGAGAGATCCCAACAATTCAGGGAGCCATCCTCTGACAAATGGGCTTTGGAGTGTATCTGAGGAGTAAGAGGAATTGTGATAATCAACTCAGCCCCAAATGCTTGCATTTTCTATGAAGTAATCCTTCACACAAACTCCCTGTTCCCCCATCCAAATCATATTGAAAGCAATGAAAAGATTCTCATTGGTTTAATCCATCTTATGGTCATGCCCTAGGAGAAGAGAGATTTGTGATTTTATTGATTGCAACTTCAACAATAAAGATAATGTACACAGTAATAAGCATTTCTAATTTTAGACTACACAGACTGTGAAGTAAATATTTGTGAATATCCTAAATGCTTAATTTTCTCTATAAATTTGCTGTAAGAGTACTAAGAATCACATGATCTAGTCTTGCTTATTTGGTTATCTATTCAAAATATTGGGTTGTGGTGGAAGAGCTTTATAACACCTTTAATTGTTATGTGGAAGCTCAAGATGCTGGAGCAGTAATGAATTTAGCTCAAAATGTGTAGTTGTTTAGGAGGGTCAAAACATAATGACACTACAAAAGCAATGAAAAAACAGTTTTTTAAACTGCTAGGAAGTTAAATACATTAATTGGAAGTTTTATCTACTTAGTCTATAAAGGTATGCAAATATTAATAATTATAATAATAGAAAGACCCCTTCCAGTGCTGACAGAGAAGAAAAAAATCCACCTCACATGGAGAAAATTCTGGAGGCTACAGAGCCTATTTTTCAGGAAAATCTGTTAAGTGGGATCAGATATTTGCATTAAACCATGTTTAGCCTATGGATGCCTACTGGGTAGCATTGCATGAAATGTGTTATGCTTTTATGCATTTTACCAACCGTGCATGCACATGTGAGACTTTTAAAAAGCCATATACAAAATGGGAATAGAGACAGATATAAACAGACACAGTGAGAATAGAAGAAAAGCTCATTGAAAAAGCATACTCCTTACTACATCATTCACAGAAACACATATACCACAAATATATTGAGGGTGGGAGGTTCTATTTAAATCTACTTCAGCTGCATAAATGAGGAAATTAATTGAGTGGGGAGAGGAACACAAATCCATCTTCAGTTTCCACTGAAAACCACCCACTGTGTTCAGATGGATATGTGAAATACCTTTGTATTCTGTGATTTTTATTTTTTATTTCCAACTTTCTTCTTTTTGGGGAGGGGGCTGGAGAACTCCAAGAAATATTGTAATTCAATATCTGATGGATTCCCTCAGCCAATTTTTTTTTAATGGCTCATCTGGATAATGGGAAGATCTGGCAAGATATTACACGGCTGGGAGTTCTGAAAAAACAAGTGAATTATTGACTTGATAGGCTGTGAGCGCAGAAAAAGTTTGAATCCTTGTAATAAACCCCACAAATGTCTCTGTTTTTTGAAGTTTATGGTCTATTGAGCTACAGTAGCTTCTGGCTTTGATTCCACAACTATAGCAATAGCCTCATCCAACTCATTCAAGTCAATAGGGGATTTGCCATTGGATTTAAAAGGAGAGGAAAGGGGTCTAAAAATCCTCAGAGTATGTGTCTTCTGAATGTTATGTTGACAGTTACATTTCATGAAGTGGCTGTTTTATCCACCTGACTTTTTTTATTATTTTTTTTAATATAATTTCTTTCTGCCCCAAGAAAATCAGATTAGAAATAGAATTGGAACCTGCAGATCAAGAAGAGAATTGATCTTCCTTCAAGAAGCTTCAGAGATGAATGAAAATGTCCTGTCATGACTTATACCTTCTTCACACCAAACATTAGGACTTGATAGCGAGAACAGCTGAGCACTCAGTTCACAGGAGACCTCAGCTTGGTACGGAGGAAATGTGACCAAAGGCAGAGGGACAGAGCTGCCTGCCAGGGAGGACCCTGGAATGTTGAAGATGGCAAATCTCTGTGTCATTGCAACTCTGCTCATATTCCCCAGCCTTCCAGAAATCCTTGCTCTGAACAGACTTCAAATAGAAAATTGTAGAAATAATAGATCTTTCTTGCTGTAAAACAGAGGCAACTGTTTGTTACCCCTACAAATGGTTTTGTTCTAATTGGAGGACACTAACTCCTGAAATAATGCTCATTTTTGCCTCTGTTATAAAGCTACCTTGAGTTTACACACCACAGAGTGAAATATTTTATCATGAGTACGAGTCTGCTGTGGGAGGCTGTGATTTAAAATGTCTAATCACCTCTAAAGTCTGAGTACATGCCTGGCAGAAGCCAAAAAGCCATCTTCTAGTCATCTCTGTTGTTTATACCTCTAGCTAGGAGGTAATAATAAAAGCATATTTTGCACTTCAAAATTATAACTTGCCTCTGCATTCCAGCCAAGCCTGAACTTATCAGTAAACAAACATAAAAAAAGGCAAACAGCACTACTGATTTGTGTTATACATTGTAGAAGTCATTAACTATGACTCAGGTAGCAAAACTTATACGTCCTCTCTTTGACAGTGATGACAATTTAATAGTATTTGACTCTGCTGAGTTACATGAAGTGTCCTGCAGCAATGAGAGAGGCTGTTTATCAAAATGATAAACATGTTTTCATTTCCTCCTTGGCTGCATGTATGTGATCAGAAGTCTAAGGCCATCAAGAATTCACTTATTCTGGCCACCAGACAGACATTAAGCTATTCAGGACCATCTGTGCTTGAAATGAGTTCCACTTAATGGACCTTCCTAGGGCAGGTCAGTCATAATGAATGCATGTGTGCATGAATGCAGGAGCAGAGCAGAGCTTTGGTGAGACTTCTTGGGCTGTTTGGCGCTGGCGCAGCCGGCTGACAGATAAGATGTGCCTTTCTTCTCGGGGTCACACACCCTGTGATTTTAGAATTCAGATCCTCTGCTACATTTGCTTCTAGCTCATTGCAAATGCACCTCACAGCCTAATCCAGATGAAGGTTGTTGTCAGAACCTGTTCCTGCTACGTGCAAATAAAATAGCAGTGCCCAAACTGCATCACGGGCTTTGCTGGCCAAACTGTGCCTCTGTGACACCACCGGTGATTCACCATGGGAATACCTGCAAAAGAAATCATCTGGACCAATTTTATCAGCATTTCCAGACAGTTCATTAGGACTATAGCTGGTTTGTGGTAGCTCTATTTATTTGTAACAGCTTCAAGTAGCCAGTGCTAGCATCCTGCTAGGGTCATAGACCCATATGTTACTCTGAAAATGCTGAAGTGTATGCAGATGCTGCTGCTAGATCTAGGAGAACAGAGAACATTCAGAAGAGAATTTAAGTTCTGTAGACTCCAAGCAAATGTTTAACAATGTGACAGCAAAAATTCTTCAGACACTTGTAGACTTGATGAAAAACTGCTCCCAGAAATGAATGGATATAAAAATTTGCACCCTCTCCACCCCATGTCTTTATACAACAAAGGAAAGAAAGGAAAAAAAATAACCCTGTGGCAGCTTTTTTTTTTTTTTTTACATTTA